TTCAGATTAAAAATGTCCAAAAAATGAAACTACTCCGATGCTGGAATGCAGAGTCAAAGTCTTTGGAGATCTGACAGGGATTTTTGTTTTGGACCTCATATCGAAAGGGAAGATGAACATTTAGGAACTGTTCAAGTAGTCACCCAGCACTGATGCCAGAAAGCGCTCTCAGCAGGCTGCACATGCTTCCAACAGTGACCACACACTCCAGGAACTCCTCAGAAAATGTGATCAAGGGTGACACACATGTTATGCCTGAAGCCAGAGGCTGCTGAACGGTCAGTGTGCTGCTGGGAGTGGAAAGGAATTGGGTGACACATCATAGAGTAGTTTGGGAAACTTCTGGTGGACCTTCAGCCTCACATTGAAGAGGCCACCAGAAACAAAGCAGGACGAAGTAGAGCATATAGAGGAGCAGGAGGAGTATGCTATGGAAGAAAATATCAGGGCAGATACTGATATTATGTTTCTGCACCTGTTACTATAGGTGCAGAAACATAATTCCTGAGAAAGCCACTTGCACCCACCAGCAGTTCCATCAAGGGTGGTAATATATTTTGACGCTCTTACATGAGGTATTTTTGAAGGCAAGTTTACTGAGTTAGTTACCACATTTTGCTACCAACTTACTAATTGCTTTAGTAACTAGAGTTACTAGGAAATTTAGGTTTGCATTTAATAGTCTGTAACACGTATTCACATAATGCACTTACCATATCTAATAAACATTAAACTTCAGAATGAGAAGATATTTTTAGATCCTTTGTGGAACCAAACACAGAATTTCAGTTTCAAAGATCTCAAAATTACACCAAAGCCACATTTCACTAAAGGAATTGCTGAGCCAGTCTCTAGTAGAGAACTACATACATGCAAGGATCTGTGCTAGATCCAAACTTGAAAGGAGGGTACCTCAGCCTGCCATGCACCTGCAGCGTAGAACTGCCTTGCTAACCAGAGAGCACCAAGACAACCATGTCTGGGAGAACATCACTGCTCAAATGGAAGCTCTTGCTTTGACTACAACAGGAGTTGGGACTCTGAAGTGTGAAAACATCATTGTACTAGGACTTAGCAACAGGAACAGATAGTGCAATGCCTTTTTTGACTCCCACTGCCTTCTCTTACATGTTCGCGGTTTCTAAGGGCAAGACGAGAAATGCTCAGTGGCAGTAAAGAGCTCTGAACTTGCTGTCTGTGATACACAGACTTAACACCCCTGCTTCCAAGCAGCGGCTACAAGGAAGAGGGAAAAACAAGAAGGAACTGAAGTACTTGACAAAAGGAAAAACACACGAGCTCAACTCCTGAAGAGAACTACAGGGATACCATGGGAAATGATACTGCATAATCTACACAGCGTACTTTCACAGTTTGGAAGTTCTACGGTTAACAGTTCACAGGGGAGCAAACCAAGACCTGAAGAAGCGAGGTCCCATCAACACCACTCTGAATCCCCTCTAGAGCACTCTGATGGGCTTTCGGACTTTCAGGTCTCTAACTTTGGATAAAGCCATGAGAATGAACAGCAATTTTGTATCACAATTGCATTTGCTAGTTTAAGACTTTCCTGGCAGTGCAGTTCTGCATCTCTCCTCCTGAGAGCAAGAAACTTTGTGAAGCAGTAGTAAAACAGGAGAAAGTTTTTGCACTCTATCATACCAAGAATGAAGTCTTCATTTGCTTATGCTACTCTGAAAATTGTAAACACATGGGAATCCAAGAGGTTTGAAAAGTCTCAAGATGACAAGATACAAAAAAATAGTTATTAAAAGTAGATGAAAATTTTCCAAGAACTGAAGTGAGGAGGCGAGGGGAAAAAAAGGAAGTTCTCAAAATAAACTATTAAGCTTGGAATCACCATGGCATCACTTTAGAGGTGCCGAGGTTACTCTTGGAGCTGCTTCTTGCCCAAAAAGCTAAGCTGTCTGCCATCAATCTGCCTCTGGGGTAAATAGGATCCTGGCTACTATCCCAAATTCAAGCAGTACAAACAAACAAGAAAGAAGTCTATGTTAGATTTCTAAAGTGAAACAAGACCTTGCCTAGCTGGAGAGCTCTAGGGCAATGCTGAGCCCCTGAACTTGCAAGTGACACTTCTCCTCTCTCAAGAGACTGCATTTGCCTTTGAACTTTCAGCCATATAGAAAAAAGGCTGAGTTGAAATGTCAGCATCATCTTGGATTCAAATCAATCAGCTTGATGCATGATTGCAATAGCTAAACCACTTCACCTCTGCACTGCCCTCATCCATATGTTCTTTATATCAGCAGTCAGCAGACTGGGTGGCTCAGTGCATTCATTTCCTGTCCTAGGCTTGGGCTCCACTTTAAACAAAACAAAACCCCCTGAAACTGGAAAATAAAAATTAGCATTTCCTGACAGTTAAATTCACCAGACTTGTTGCATCAAATCTCTTTCTCCATCCAAGAAAGTTGCAATAAACCCTTTGGGAAGCACTGGTACAACTGGCAAGTTTTAGCTATCTGCTCAACCAGCTGGTCACACTTCCACAAAACCAATAAAGGAACTGGATCCCTTTCAAATGCTGACATACCTTTGGGTGAGGGGAAAGCACTGAAGGGAAGAGCAGAGAGCCCCAAGCAGTGCCAACTTAAAGAAACAGATTGGAAGCAGCCATTCCCACCTCAGTAAATTAATAGCCCACTGAGTAGCAAACTCTCCACCCACTTCTCCAGCTGGGCTTCCTCCAGATGATGTTGCTCTTTATCAGCTACAATGCAAGAGTTAAATTCCCAAGATAATTTAAATCTAAACAATGTGCAGCCTTCAGCATTCATGTAGGTGCCTGCCAGCTGGTGACAGTTAAGTGGTTACTTTCTCAAGCTAAACTTATTAGCTAAAGGTCAAGACACTCTGGAATAATGGAACTGCATTCAAAGCTTGCTCTACCAGAGCTCAGTGAGTCACTGTGGAAGGGGAGGTTTCTCATTGAAGGTGTGTTACAGCAAGCCAGTCTCACCAGGAGTATGTCATACTTCGGGGCTACCCATCCAGGGTGGACTGTTTACTTTGCAAAATAAAAGTTGACTTCCCTTAGGGAGCTAACAAGGAAGCCTGTACGTAGTAAACAGCTGCACTGCAGCCTTTGAATGACTTCAAGCTCTTTGACTTGGTTTCCCTGGTTCACCCTCCCAACATCTTCCCTTATGAAATGCTAATAGAAATAAATCTAGAAAGGGCAAAGAAGGCCTCATATAAAAAATAACCCCTTCTCCACATAGGCTACAGTGGACACTGCTCCAGAACAACACAGAAAAGGAGCAGGCATCAACCCTGCTCACTGGGGATTAAAGACAGAATCAACACATAAGATCTCTCAAGCCTCAAGATGCAAAACAAACCCACCATGGATCTGAAGAGACCCTGCAGCCATGCAAAACTGCTCTGTGTGCTTGAGCAATCCATTCTATCTCCTGGCTTAGTCTGTCCTACTCATGGAAATGCAGCCTTATTATTCCAGAGCTCCCAAGGAATGGAAACTTTGGCCTTCAGTCTCTGGAAACAGGAGCCATTCTGAAGTGAATGGCTCAAGAGCCACTGTAGTTGCCATTCTGCTGACACATGGAGAACAACAGTGACCATCAGAGAATTCGCAATAGAGCATTTGCAATAGAGCGAAAAGGCAAGTTAAAAATAGCTCACATCCAATCTGCCATCAATCATACCTACCTCACATCAGCTTCAAAAGCACCAGCTGCACATATGAGTGAAATGAAACAGTGAGGAGAAAGCTGACACCAAAAAAAAAGATGAAAGCATTTTGAGGTTCTACCCTGTTAATTTGCTGTGGCTCCAGAACTGCCCTGGTTTGGTTTTGTTTCAGTTTACTTGTCTGTTTTCTTTCATCTGCTGTTTCCAGGAAGGACCCACACCGATGTGAGCATCTCACCCTCTCAGAGGAACCAGATTTGCAGTAGAAGAGAGCACAAAAAAGAAAGTACAAAAGGCTTTATAACAGATTGCCAAAAAAACCTAAAACACTCTTTTCAGCCCTTTTTACTTACAATTCCAAGTGACATGAACATTAAGAATTAGCATAAGGAGCAAGTAAATCCTCCAGGTTTAAAACTGATGCCTCTGGACAGTTTGAAGTGCTGCGTACAGCACTAGTGTCGACACCACTCCTAGAAATCAAGGGGCACAACCCTTCTGTACTAGAAGGTCATTTTTTTCCCTCCTCCTTTCAAGAACATAGGGCTGTTGGTAGCGCCAGATGTTTTAGGGAGGGAAAAAAAGGTAAGAATAATCTCACATATGAAAGTGAGGGCTGGCTACTGGCTTTCTGCTCACACTCCACATGCCGTATCCAAGGCCAAAAGAACAGTTCCACCTTGAAAACTGACTGCATAAAATTGTCACCTCATTGCACAGAGCCACTCCTGTGAGATCACCGCTGACTTTCTCAAACAAGCTTATGGTGGTTTTTTATTTGCCCTGAAATCTGCAGAAACAGATCTGGCACTGCAGGAGAGAGCTGGATTCTCTCCTTTACACCAGCAGCACCACTAAGCTGTAATTACTCTCACCTGTCAAAACCTACAGGCATGAACAGGCTGCACACACCAGCTCCTCGGGTCCCCAGTCAGATCAGTTGAGCTGCAGCTATTTGGGAAGTAACAGTCCTGCCACAGTCCATCCTTAGCATCCCCTGCAGTAACAGGTAAGAAACCAAGGTGCTCACAGAAGCTTCTCTTCCTCAAGCTCGCTTCTTCTAGCAGCAGGCTAAAATGCAAAGCTGTCTTCTGCAGACTGTAACTTAGAGTAGTTTTGCTACTTAAGGCTTTTCTTGAGCTTCTGGGAAGCTATTGTTTTCTCAGCAGCCTGAAGCAAGCTGCTGTCTGCAGCCATCATTCTTTGTGGCTGTAAGGAGACAGCTTCCTAGTTAGAGATTTGCCCTAGTAGTGTGATTAGCACCAAGATATTGCAGCACAAAGGAAACTACCAGAAGCAGCTACAAACGTTGCTGGATAACTCACCCTCTTCACAGTTGCTCCCCGTGAAGCCAGGGCAGCACCTCCACTCCAGCGTGGTCACCGTTCGGTAGGACATTTTATACGTGGGCCTGATGAGAGTCCTGTAACTAACACAAACAAGAAGTCAGCAGGATGCACTTATGTACTCAAGGGTGGTGTTACTAATTTACAGCACATCTGCCTGCCTGCCCCAGAACACTCAGCCTCCCCTGGCTGCAGAAAAAGGAGACACACAAAGCAACATAGAAATGGTTTACTACAGTATGGATCCGATTCAACAACCCTGATTTTTCTCCTTAAGCCCTCACAGTCTTCTGGCTCTTCCCCATACCTCTCCTGCAAATTATGCTTTGTGGAGGTCCCATTGCTACCAAGTCATTGCAAGTAGTGGAGATGCTGACTCTGGTTTCCCTTACTCTGCCTGCATGTGGATGTGTCTGACCTTGAACAAAGGCTGCCTCATTAGCCTTTCCTCACTCAGCACTAACAGAGGTTCCAAAACATTACTCACAAAAATATAAATCTCTCGTGTGCCTTCCCTTTTCTCACCCCCACCACTCAGATCCAGGGTGTTTTAACACAGCAGCATAACAAACATCATCACAACACAACACTTGCTATACAAAACAGATGTGGACAGGCCAGAGAGGGTCCAGAGAAGAGCCACAAAGATGATCCAAAGACTGGGCAGCCATGTGAGGTCAGGCTGAGAGAACTGGGTTTGTTCAACCTAGAGAAAAGAAGGTTGAGAGGAGTCCTTATCACCATGTTCCAGTATTTAAAGGGTGGCTACAAAGATGATGGAGACTCCCTTCTTACAAGGAACCACATGGAAAAAGATAACCAGTGATTGGTACAAGTTACCCCAGGGGAGATTCCAATTGGGCACAAGAGGAAAATTTTTCACAATGAGAAACAATCAGCCACTGGAATAATCTCCCCAGGGAAGTGGTGGATTCCCTGATGTTGGATACTGTTAAGATCCAGCTGGACAGGGTTCTGGGACATCTAGTCTGGGTCATGCTCTAACAAAAAAGGTTGGACCAGATGATGCCTGAGGTCCCTCCCAACCTGGTATTCTGTGATTCTATTAAGACTACATCAGTGATCACCATGGAGCCTTTTTCCCAGCTAGCTGACCCATGCCTCAGGTTTCCCCATAGGAAACAGGGTTACACTCTTCCTCACCACAGCTGTGGTTCTGCAGGACGTATTGGCTGTCTTCATGTCCAGCACACTGAATCCCAAAGTCCCAGTTAAAGCACAAGTACTGCCATGCCCCACTGGAAACTAAAAGGCTACCTGCAGACACAGGCAGAGCTGTGGAAAGCACCAGTGATTCTGAAGTCAAGATAAACCAGACAGTTGCATAAATGCCAGCTTTGCTTTTAAACCAGCAGCCCTTCAAAGCTGGCAGATCAGAGTTTTCCCAGTATATGGCCAGACAAGTCACTGCTGCTATTCATGAAGCTAAAAGCAAACACAGAAGTCATACTCTACAAGCTCCCCTCAAAATTCTTCCCCTTGTTTAACAGCCAAAGGAATTTGGCACACACAGGGAGAGGCTGAAGCTTTGGGATTACAGTGTTGCAGGCTGCAGCTTTATGCTTTTTTCTCAAGGCCAGGCAGACACAAGCCCCAGCACTGGGGTCTTCTCAGGGGAAGAGCCTCCTCCTGCAGCGTGAAGACCCAGCAGAAGACAAAGCACAGCCTCTGCCTGCTCCGCCTGCAGCACTGCCCCAGGCTCAGATGCACAAGGCCAAAAGGGAGCTAGAAATTGCAGGAATCTCATCCAAAGCCCCTCCCTCCAAGGGGCAGCAGGTACAGGTGTACATCTAGGAGAGCACTGCAGCGACATGGGTTCAAATACTCTTAAGAGCAGTAACCAAGGCTTGCCAGAAGGGGCTGCCCATGTATGTCTTGGAAAGAAGGCAGCAGCTCAGTCTTTGGGAAATTAATTTCTCAATAAACCGCTGCCGATTGTTTCTTATGCCAGCTGCCAAACACAGAAGCCAACTTCTCCTATAGCCAACAGACAAGAGGGCTGCACAAGCTTCCTCCTGAGCATGGGGCTGCCTGCATTTGGAATGGCACTGGCCAGTGATGGGAGAGCAACGCTGTCTCCTGAGAACATCACGTCCTTGCCCTCCGAGCAGCCAAAAAGCACACCAGTGACAGCTAACACTGACAACTGCAATCCAGGCACTCATCTAATACGCACTGGGCAGAGCCAGCTTGTCCCACTTAGTGTTTTGCACTTCTGCATCCAATAGTATTCAGGAGTTTGCAGTCATGAGTGAGCTTGAGGACTCGGCACCACGTTGATGTAGGCAGAGCTTCAGTGCTTTTTCAGAGAGACCCAAGGCATGAAGACTTCCAGTATCTTGCTGAGGGTCTCCCAGAAGAGCTCTGGCAAAGCTCAGGAACCAAACCCGAGTCTCCCAACTCCCAGTCCTGGCACTGGACTCAAGACATCTTTCCACACACAAGCCCTGAACCATCAGTCAGAAGTTCATGACTTTGTCACTAACACCACAGCTGGACTTGACCTCAAGATGAAAGTCTCCAACCCAGTTACCAGTGTCCGGAGCCAGCTAGTCTCCAACTACACCGTGATTTTAAAACCATGTTTCTGCCAACACCAAGATGTTAAAACTCTCTCAAACTTCATTATGAAGTGTGGAGAGTGGCTTGAGCCAGACTGGAATCTTGGCAGCAGTTCTGTGTCGGGGAAGTAGCTATAGTTTAATCCTCAAACGAGCGAGGACTTCTCAGGGCATGACAAACATGGGGCTCAGCTGTCACAGCCTACCACCCACCCTGAATTTCCTGGAAGAGTCCCGACATTTGCAGCTCTGTTCAGCATCGTGCACTCACGCATGTGAAGTGGTCCCAGCTTGCTCAAATCTGCTGTGATGTTGCTCTGGTCTCCATAGCACTGCTTTCTGCCACCCATGTGAGATGCACCAAGGTCTGTTGTTACATGTATCATCACAACATGCAGCTTCCCAACTGCTATTCCAGGAGGGAAGCAAAGAAAACTCCTTTAACGAAGCATCGCCACTGCCTGATACCAGAAGTGTTGCAATTGGAAGAAAGGGAAAAAAAAACACATGGGAAAAGGAGAGAAAAAGAGCATACCTGTTACAGATCAGAAGCCTTGGAATTAGTGTGTGTGGAAAACACGACAGGCAGAAAAAAGGTTTGGCGGTGGAATAGGGAAGCTTCTCCCTTGGATGCTATCCAAGCCACAAGCAAATAGCAAAACCACAGTAAGAAAAGAGGTTAGGATGAGCTACAACCTGAACCTTTTTGGCTTCCCAGGCAGCCAAAGGATATGTTTGGCATATACAGTCCCCTGCCAAGCTTCCAAGCACTTCAAAGAAGCAAACTATCAGGACCTGTCACTCTACCACAGGAGACAGGCCTCATTCACCAACATGTGTACTGAGGCTCACAGCAAGGTCCCAGGGAGTGTGGGAAGAACCTAGCAAACTCAGCCAGCACTACTGCTGTCATTGCATCAGAGCAAACCCTTAGCTGCCCCTGGAGACTGCCTGATGGTGTCAGACAAGCTACAGGAGCTCACCTGCCTGCAGTCCTCATTTGGGAAACAGTCTCTTGCTTGTGTCTCTGTGTGACTGCCCCGGAAGGGGTAATGTGGGAGGGAGCATGAGATGACTGATTAACTGTTTTGGGGCTATGAAGCTAAAAATACTGGAGAAGTCGGGACATGGCAGCCAACAAGTCTCACACCTCAGCACACAAGGATACATTCCCCCTGCTCTCAAGGAAGTGTCACTGAACACAACAGCCAGACGTGGCACAAGGAAAGTGTCACATTCTTGGACCAGAGCCTCTCAAATCAGGTCAAAAACAGAGGCGTGATCTGTGCCCTGACCCAAGCAGGACAGCCTGTCACACACAGGAAATACCTTCCCCATTATGGATTTCCCTGCCCTTTGACACTTACAAAGATGATGTGAGAGGGAAGGTGTGAAATTCATTTCCACATCACAAGAGATGGTTTTGTTAGTGTGATTCATTCATTCAGCCACTGCAGTTTGTGCCTGAGGAGACCTCGGCAACCTTCAGAGGCTTCTATTCATTTCCATTCAAGTTCCAGGTTGAAAGTTTCAACCTCACTTACTGGTGGGTTTCAGGATAACAAGAGGAATGAACTTGCCTTTTGACTGGCAAAGAATCTGGAAACCAAGGAATCCAAGCTTGCTTTTACCTACTATTCTTATGGCAACAAATCCTACATCAATGCAGTGGGTCCAACCCTGTATATCTAACTGGCATATTGCCTTTCAAACGGGCACAATCATTTTCATTCCAAAAAGTGCTATTTCTGCATTAAAACAGAGCCTGTTTCAGAGAAGCTATCAAGAACTTGGCTCTGAACATCACCATCCCCACTCTAGACAGACCACCATAACTATCCCCTCAAAGCCCACCAGACACCCATTACACCACATAGCTTCTCTACAGAACAGGCAAGGTAACTTCACCTCAAACTAGTGCCACAGCTGACACAGGGACAAAGAGTACCTTGGCCATCACGTTTGCACACACAAGCATGGCAGAGACCATCACTTGTGAATGAGACCTGTGCTCTTTTCTTTCCCACAGCCCCAACTTTTCCAGCACAAAGGCAGCAGTTCCCCAGGGGAGAACATAACCAGGAGTTTCAAACATGCTCCTGCAGACACTGGACAAAACACAAAACCTGCAGCTGCAAATATGTTGGAGGCCACTGTACATCTTCTGCCTTTGCCAAAGGGGAGGAAGAAGTGCCTGTTTAACTCTCAGCATGTCTCGTTTGCACAAGTTAGAGAGTCTAAAACCCAGAAAACACAAACTTACAAAAAAGCCCCTCCTCAAGCTGTACACAGGAGCAGTTTACAGTCTCTCACTCCTGAGTCAAAGGACACAGAGACAGATGTTTCTGTGCCACCAGAGTAATCATCAGCTCCTGTCTTCATTAACAATGGGATCTCAGTGCTACTCCAGACCAGCACTGCCCTGCCATAGCAACGAGGAGGAAGAGTGCCCAGACAGCATGTATTACATTGCGAGATCAAAAGGCCCTCACTAGCAGCCT